TTACTGACTGTACGCAACAGTACCGGTGTAAAACTTGATGATGTTGATGATGATGACGAAGCCATCGCAAGCAATCAAACAAAACAAGCAGGAACGAAAGGTACGTATATGTTTGTAGGAATATGAAAAAAAGTTACTCACGCACTGCACAAAATTCGCAAAATAAATATTAGAGACGTTAATTACTGCCGTAGACGCCGAAACACCAACGAGCCGTAAATTAAATGCGATTAAAAAATGTACTAAACCAAAAATTATTTTCGTTCGTAACAACTTCACCCTTTCAAGGCAAGTTTCGAATATAAACTGAAGCTTTATATTTAATGAATAAACACCTCAGGAACCTCGTCCTATGATTTTACGAGTTTTACGACCGTTTTATGACTTGGGCCCTCATTTTGTACTATCGACAAATTATGAACGGACTATAGAACCATATAATCGCTGGAGTTTGTGGATTTGGCATCTTCATCTGTTGTTATCGAATTATAGAAAATTCAAAAAACCATTATTTAATTCGGAAAGAAAAATAATGAAATTAACGAACTCTGAATTTCAAAAAATTTCTTAACTGAACTTCCAGACAGTTTTCTTGGTAGTGAAGTAATAGCTTTAAACATTTCATTGTTTTTCGTGGTCGTTATTATAATCTTTATTGTATCTATAAAAATGTTAAATTAACATTGATTATTAAGTGTTCCATTCAAAAGAAGCAAGTTAATACCTGCTTTCAATGTAAGTCAACTGAGTTGACACTTAAAAATTTACACAAGAAAATAGTATACCATGCGTTTCGCTAATCAGGTTAGCATCATCAGGAAACGACTAAAACAAATTTTACAGCTAAGTTATATATATGTTAGGTGTTGTTTCAAAAGTTTTGTCCGTTTTGATGTAATGTGATGTAATGTTTATTTTACTGTGTCATGGTGTACACTGATCGATAGAGAATTTTCTACCCTATATATGTAGGGGAAGGTAGGGTAAAGTGGCCACCCTAAGCTTTAAACACACGCCAACCGAATAAATGTCAACCTTTTTACAGTTTGTTTGTTTATTATTATCCGTGTACTTATTAAGTTTCGATATTATATTGTTTACAAATCAATATTCTGATAATTTTAGCATAATTCAAGATTGAAGTCGAAATGGGAAATTGACCACTTTACCTATCCTGGTCGGGTAAAATTTTATATACAAATTCATAGACGGGTAAAGTGGCCTACTTCAAATAAAACATCAGAATTATGTTATTTTAATACAGATTTATTGAAATTTTGCATGAAAAAAATATTTAAATTAAACAGTTCTTAATTCAATAAGTATATTAATTCTACATATTGATTCACAATAATCAAGAGTATTTCATTTTTCTTCGGAAAAAGAAGGTGACCACTTTATCTGCCTGGGCCACTTTATCCACCCTTCCCCTACCCTACGATGCTGCTCATTTTTTTCCAAAGTTAAATTTTTTGCGATCGTTTTTTTGGATAGGATCGACACGTGTTATGAAAAGTGGATCCACTACGATAACAGGAAACGTTCAGGAAATTGGTTGGACACAGAAGAGCCACCCAGCCACTTCCCCACACAAACATGGTTTTTGCAAACGGGCCAAACCATCACAGCAGAGTCATATCTTGAAAATTGTATCCGCAGCAGACGTCACTGATCAACAGAAGAGGTCCGATCCTGCTCCACGACAACGCCCGTCCGCACATTTCAGGAATCACCGTTCGAAAATTCAACGAATTCGGCTTCGGAGTTCTGCCTCAGCCACAATACCCTCCAGACCTCTTGCTAACCGACTACCATCTTTTCAAGCACTTCGATAACTGTCTCATCGGTAGAACCTTCGCCAATCAAGGCCAAACAAAAAAGGCATTCGTCGACTTCATCGAATCCCTAGTACACAATTTTTGTGCTGACGGAATTGATCGGATTGTGTTACGTTGACAAAAGTGCATTGACTCAAATGGCGCTTATGTGGATTGAAATGAATAAGTATCCACTCAGATATTACAGTTTAAAGTAGACTCATAAAAACGGTCGAAACTTTTGGAACAACGTATACGATCATTGAATAAGTTCGTAATTTCAGTTATTATGTTAGTTTGATGTAGGTATTCCAATTTATGTGTTAATTACTAATGACTAATTATACTTATATTTCCCTGGTTTCCACTTGTGATTATTACGTAAGAGAATAAAACACGGGCTGTTTGAAATGGGACTTTTGACGCTGTTTGCAGATCTCTTTCCACACTCTTTGATTTTTAAACTTTCGAAGGTGTCTGAAAGCCTACTGCCATCTACCGGTCTTGACAATTCCAAGAATTTCTCATTCATACTATGACCGTTGTCTAAAGCCTATTGAGCGACACTAGACTTCTCTTCAATTGAATCAAATATCTGAAACATGTTCTTTAAAACGCGTCATTATAGTGCGACCAGTTTGACCAACATACTTTATGCAGCAATCCTCACAATTTATTTCATGAATCCCAGACTTTTCATTTCTTGTCATTCTATCCTTCGAGTTGCCCAACATTTATTGAAGTGAACGAGTCTTTCTGAAATGTCGAGGATTTTTTAATTGAAAAGCAGAGATCAGATGTTTTGGTAAAAATCGTTTTCTCTTTCGGTAACATAAAGTCGTTATGATGTCCAAAACCGTCGTGGTGCGATGATAAGACAAGTGTTTTCACCCGAAACTACCAAGTATACCATTGAGGATGATAGTGTTGTTTCATCAAGAGAACTGGTGTATTCACAATTCCTTTTTCGCAATGATCAAAATTAACGAATTGAAGTTTGAATTGCTACCTCATGCACTTTATTCGCCAAATTTACTCCCCTCGAATTATTTTCTGTTCCCAAACTTGAAAAAATTGCTCAGTGATCAAAGATTTTCCAACGATGACAAAGTGATGTCGGCAGTTAATGGCTATTTTGAGGAGCATGACAGCATGACAGTTCTTATTGTAAAAACGGTATCGAACTTATCGCTGGAAAAAGTGTATAGAGGTATAAGGAGATTATGTTGAAAAATAAATACATTTTTCCAAAATTTTCATGTTTTTTTTTGTTAGGCCGAGTATTTCTGGGGCCACCCCCGTATGTATTAGTTATAACTTAAATATTTGTTTCCAATAGAAAGTAAATCTAATACAAACAAATAAATTGTTTTGAAATTGCATGAATTGACACAAAAAAATCAAAACCATTTTGGATGGGTTATATCTACTCCCGGGAAAAAATAGGACCGCAACAAAGAAATTGAAAACGTTACAGATTGATAACCTAACCTTCATCCCTAATAAATAACAAATGTATTGAAACTGTTATTTTTCCTTATCACAGAAAAATTATTTTTAAAGTGATATCGAAAGTTATTGTGAATGAAAAATTTCGCCAAAATACTTGAAAAAATGCTAAAATCCAACTATTCAGTAGGTTACAATATCAGTTAGATAAATGTTGTAATATTATCAACTCTTTGTCATGCGGGGTTATGAGAAGCAATAGAATCAGGGCTGTTAACCACGGTTATAAGGAACTTGTAGTATCGAACGTTTCGTCTGCTACTGCGGCATACATCTTCGGTGGTGTAGGCGTTGACTGTGAGGACGAATGTAGTAACTCGAAGTCTCAGCAAGAACTGACTATTCATATACAAATAGAGATGAGATCAATATTATTCTAAATGTGGTTCTTCTCGACTCGATTTAAAATCATAGGAGAGTAAATCTTCGTCTTTGTTTCGTGA